GAGCCCTGGGAGGCAGAGGTTGCAGTGAGCCCTCGCACCACTGCACTCCAGTCTGGGTGACAAAACGAGACTCCGTCTCAAAAGAAAAAAGTTCACCGAGTGAACATGAAGGGAACATTGTCAATATCAAAAAGCCTGTGCTAAATCCTAAAATAATGCAAAGAAGCAAAGGCCTCAATTGCACTTACTGTCTTCTGTGTTGATTTGGTGTCTTTTTGGTGAGATGTTTATTGATGACCAGGGGCAATCCCACTGTGTATCCCAACATCATTCCTTGGCCTTCTAACTTTCTCTATCTTAAAATATCCACAGGATTTCCAGTTTTCTTTTTTGAACTTAAAACACTAACACAGAAACCTGAAGGTGCCTATGGAGAGTGTGGATATAATTTAAACCATAGAGTTGTGTGAGTCAGTACAAATACTAGCAGAAGGTTTTCATACAGATTAGAAAACACTGGAAGGCAAGTAAACAGCATTTTCCAGCCTGTCTGCTTATACTCAGATCACTTTAGTTCCTGTTTTCTTCACAACATCCATCAGGGTGTTTGAGACTTACAGGACACAGACCAGGTTTTTTTAGTTAATAGAGAATATGAATACTACTGATCTCACAGGTAGATCAAAGACAGGGCCTAAGGTAGATTAGGGCCCAGGGTAGAGTGAAACTGAACTGTACAAGTATTTCATGGTTTGCTTTGGCAAATTAAGTTTCGATTAAATCAGTACTGTGAATTAAAAGGTATTTCTTTCTTAGTCCAATGAACGTTTTTATTGCTATATAAAATGAGAACAGTGGAATTTGCACGTATGTCTCCTTTCTTCTTTCTCTAAACGCCTGCCAAAGCCGGGAACTCTTTATCGCCTGGGCACAGACTTACAGCTTCAGCAAGTGTCCGTGGGACTGAGCTTGGCCGTCTGTGTCCTGTAGTCACAGCCCACGTTCTTTGCTCCAAAAAATACCTTGTTTTCATGTACAACATCCATTCAAAAGAGATTTGAATAGAGGTTATGGAAGAGACCGATAAGGTTACTTGCCAGCAGAAGCAAGAAGTGCACGTTTTGACTTGAGATCCATGATGGAAGACAGATTGTATACGTTCATTCCTTTGGCCTCTGTAATAGGACTTTCCTGGTTGCAAACAAATGTATGCATTAAAGCACACAATTTGGCAAATTATATGTGTGCAAATGCAGTTCGACCTAGCACAGCTTCGGAGTTCCGCATTACGACTGGAAATACAGTAGTGATTTTCTGTTGATTTTATTGCATTCATTCTCTGTTTTCTTTTTCCTTTTTCTCTTGCAATTTTCAGAATTCAGCTATCAAATTGAAAATCCATCTATAGTAGCTTCAGTGATTACAAACTGAAACATGGGTTATTCCACATCATTTTCTCAAACGAGGCTTCTATTGCTTATGTTGTAGGTCTTACATAATCTTTAATAAATATACAACGATATCTGTAACTGGACTGCTTAGAAAATGTAGAACTATTAACATGAGAAATGAAGAATTTTCTTGCCTTAAGCTACCTTCAGTGAACGGATATACCACATTTTTCTTAGAAAAAGGTTTACAAATACTCACTATGCCAGAACATACTGCCCTGTGTTGATATTGTTTATCAATGCTAAGTTTAGGGGTGCGGTGTTCCGTCTCACATTCCTTATGTACCGTCAGTATTTGTGTCCATATGAATTAAACTTTACGACATTACTTTTTCACACTGTAGTAGCCAATAAATAACCAAAAGTCAATTTAAAACTCACTTTTGAGGCTTGATTTTAGTGAATCTTGTATATTTACTCTTCTTTAAGTATAAAATATTTTTTTAAGGCTTTCATTTGGTTTTCTAGTCTTTCATTTAGTCATTTCTGGGAGTTGCTCCAAAAGCAAGATGTGACAGGCATATCACTTTTAATAAAAATAAGATTTCCTGTAATTTAAAAAAAATGCTTAAAAGCACCTCAGCTAAGGCAATCCTTTATTGCCTATAATGCCTTTACCAGATTTTATTAGTCATTTTAGTTTTTTAAAAGACATTTTCTTGTTGCGTAATTGTACAGAAGAATCTTTTTATTGCCATAGCAGTATCTTGGTTGCAGTGTTTGAACTGGAGCTATCTTTTTATTAAATCTATCATTTGCCTCTAGGAATATTGCTGCATTTTTTATGAGATGGAGTCTTACTCTGTTGCCGGGCTGGAGTGCAGTGGCGCCATCTCAGCTCACTACAACTTCTGACTCCCTGGTTCAAGTAATTCTCCTGCCACAGCTTCCCAAGTAGCTATTAACAGGCATGCACCACCATACACAGCTATTTTGTTTTGTTTTGAGACCGAGTTTTGCTCTCGTTGCCCAGGCTGGAATACAGTGGTGCTATCTCTGCTCACTGCAACCTCTGTCTCCCAGGTTCAAGCTATTTTCCTGCCTCAGCCTCCCGAGTAGCTGGGATTACAGGCAGGTACCACCATGCCTGGCTAATTTTGTATTTTTAGTAGAGACGGGGTTTCTCCATGTTCATCAGGCTGGTCTTGAACCCCCGACCTCAGGTGATCCACCAGCCTTGACCTCCCAAAGTGCTGGGATTACAGGCATGAGCCACCATACCCAGCCTGCTACCCTTTTAGTATGGGACTCTGGACGCAGTTCCTAATATAGGTACCCAAAAACACTTTTGTAGGGCCTAATAATACAAATATTTGTATTATGAACATTCTTCTGAATGTACCCCTCCGAGACTAGTCCTGTATTTAACTGCCTCACCCCCTGATTGAATTTCACCTCATTTGAGTTGGGGCACCTTCTGATCCCTTTAAATAGTGGGGAAACAAAAACAAAAAACACTACAGCAAGAGACCAAGAAAGCTTCGGGCTAAAGGCTTTTCCATTCATTCTAAGCTATAAATTTTTCACCTGAGACCGGGCACAGTAGCTCACACCTGTAATCCCAGCACTTTGGGAGGCCAAGACAGGTGGATTACTTGAGGTCAGGAGTTTGACACCAGCCTGGCCAACATGGTGAAACTCCATTTCTACTAAAAATACAAATACAGGCCGGGCGTGGTGGTGGACGCCTGTAATTCCAGCTACTCAGGAGGCTGAGACAGGAGAATCACTTGAACCCAGGAGGTGAAGGTTGTGGTGAGCTGAGATTGTGCCATTGCACTCCAGCCTGGGTGACACGAGTGAAATTCCATCTCAAAAAAAAAAAAAAAAATATATATATATATATATATATATATATATGTATTTTTCCCTTCTGTTTAATAAACCACATTTGAAGTGTACCATTGTACCACAGAATTTTAAAATATACCATCATTCTGTGAAAACTGTTTGCTTTTTGCTAGTTGGCTTTTTGTACAGCTAGTGTTTTTTGTTTTTATTATTAACTTAAAAGCCCTTCCCTAACAGAACTCAAAGAAAGAGAGATTTGGAGTATACCATTAGAAGAGCTATGGAAAATGTCAGGAGCCTCTTACTCCTCATAAAACATACAGCATTGCTGTAAAAGAGCAGTATTGCTGTAAGAGATAATAGACTCCCTGTCGGTTTACCTATTGACTTCGTTTTGAAAATCTGGGTCACAAAACTTTGAGTGCTTTCCTTTTAAATCACATACGTGGTTGTCAGAGGGAGTCTTGTCTTTGGCCTTCTTGCCTCGTGTACAGTGACTGCAGTGAAACTAAATGCACATCAGTCCGCTTCTCCACACCAGCGTAATTCAGTGTCGGCTAGTTTTGCTTTCTAAAAATGAGCAAGAAACTTTTTCTCCTAGTAACACCGCTAAAATGCTGAGTTGACTTTTTATTTTTGCTTTGAAATTCCACTGTAGGCCCTAAAGCAGCAATTAACTGTCAAGTTGAGGCTGGCGGCACCTATGCTGAGGAGACACTAGCTATTACATATTGCTCACCAGGCGCCGAGCTGGCCTTTTGCATACATGATCATGATTTGATGGTCATAACACAGTCCTTCCAAGTACACGGTCTTCCCTTATTGTACAGATAAGCAAACTGAGGTTCAGAAACGTTCCGTCATTTACCTAGTGTCACACAAGTAGTAGGTAGCAGAGTTGAACTCAGGTCTTTCTAAATCTAAAACTTACATTCTTTCTGCTGTTTTATGCTGCCTCTTAAATTATTTAACTCTATATTAAGAATGCTCATTAAAATCAGTCATCTGTCCCAGCATTTCTTGCTTTTTCTTCTTTCCTTTTTTTTAAAATGGGGAGTGGATACATAGTTGAAGGAAAAAGTGGAGCCCAACAGGACCCAGATCTTTTGATTCTTTTTTTTAAGGGCTAAAGTAGATTAGATTGGTTTTTCTTTCCTCATACTTCATCACAGCAATATGATGTCCAGTTTGACCAAAATAACAACTAGGTAAGTAATTGCTTGATTAAAATCTCATATTTGGCATTGCCTGAGACAGAAATCCTACTAATTGATAATATTATGGCAGAAATCCTAATCATTGATTAAAAGTTAGATGACATTATTTCCATTTTAGTTTTGAGAAACTGTCAACTTTTAATTAATTTGCCATGTACATTTTACATGACCATGTTTTAAAGGCACATTTTCCAACAAAGTCAAGAGGAAGGGAGATATGTTTTAGGCACAGAGTATCAGTACATTTTAAAGTTTATAAGGGAGCAATTTATTAAATGACCCTAATCTTATATCAGACAGTGTATACATTGGTAGACAAACCTCCTATCTTTTTAAAATAATTTTTATAGCCAGAGAAAATGGTTCTTGGTAACTAAATGTAAATGTCAGCTCAAAGCTAATATATTAGGGTTTTTTTTTTTTTCTTTTAAGATCAGATTTTACAACTCAGCTCCTTTAATTTGAGTACAAACTCTAAATTTAGCTAATTTCAACATAGTATAAAACTAATCAAATATGCTAGACATTTTGCTTCTACAGAGTTTAGGGCATTTTGCCTAAATTGCTTGCCTCTAATTGTGGGGTCTTATTTCCCTTTCAGATATAGAGGACTTAAAATATGCTGCTTTTGGAAGCTACAGTAGCAATTTTGCAGTGAGCACACTTACAAGCTATGACTGGTCAGACAGGGATGATGCATCTCAGGGCAGAAAACTCTCTTCATTTGTCCTCTCAGCAGGAAGTGGATCCCCCTCAGCCACCTCAGTTCTTCAAAAGAAAGAGACTTCATTTGGCAGTTCTGAAAACATCACCATGACATCTCTCTCCAAAGTAACGACCTTTGCAAGTGAAGATGCTCTTCCAGAGACAACCTTCCCAGCTTTTGCCAGTTTTAAAGACATGATTCCTCAGACCCGTGAGCAAAAGGAATATGAAAGCCGAGACTATAAAGATTTCACAAGACAGGACCTGCCCACGGCTGAACGGAGCCAAGAGGCCACGTGTCCCAGCCCAGCTTCCAGTGGCGCCTCTCAAGAAACCCCCAACGAATGTTCAGATGACTTTGGAGAGTTTCAAAGTGAAAAGCCCAAAATCAGCAAATTTGACTTCTTAGTAGCCACTTCACAAAGCAAAATGAAATCCAGTGAAGAAATGATCAAAAGTGAGCTGGCAACCTTTGACCTTTCTGTTCAAGGTGAGTAGCTTCCAAGGTGGATTTTACTTTTGCAGTTTTTTTTCGATGAGGTGTTAGATGTTTTTTTTTTTTTTTTTGAGACGGAGTTTCACTCTTGTTACCCAGGCTGGAGTGCAATGGCACGATCTCAGCTCACTGCAACCTCCGCCTCCTGGGTTCAAGCATTTCTCCTGCCTCAGCCTCCTGAGTAGCTGGGACTACAGGCGTGCACCACCACGCCCGGCTAATTTTTGTATTTTTAGTAGAGACGGGGCTTTACCTTGTTGACCAAGATGGGCTCGATCTCTTGACCTTGTGATCCACCCGCCTCGGCCTCCCAAAGTGCTGGTATTATAGGCGTGAGCCACCGCGCCCGGCCTAGATGTTCTTAAGAGTAAAATGTTGCTCCCTGGTTTAGCAGGAAATAGATTTTCTAATCTTTGAAATCAGCATCAATTACAGATATCTATAATAAAGATTTCTCTGAGACTGGAGTCAAAATCAGTGTCCCTCAGATAACTGCTTTATGGGCTAAAAACAAGCATAGCATGCAGGTATTGTTCATTAGCTTGTTTGGTTAGAGGTATGCTGTGTTAAAAGAGCCAGATGTAAATGGATTTGAGCCACTTGTAGGCACATTAGCTCCGCTCGTGTTCTCTGGGCACAGATGACGTGTTTTTGTTTGTTTGTTTGTTTGTTTGTTTGTTTTTTGAGATGGAATATCATTGCTCTCAGCTGGAGTGCAGTGGTGTGATCTTGGCTGACTGCAACCTCCGCCTCCCGGGTTCAACCAGTTCTTCTGCCTCAGCCTCCCAAGTAGTTGGGACTGCAGGCATATGCCACCATGCCTGGCTAATTTTTGTATTTTTAGTAAAGATGGGTTTCACCATGTTGGCCAGGCTGGTCTTGAACTCCTGACCTCAAGTGATCGACCTGCCTCGGCCTCCCAAAGTGCTGGGATTACAGGTGAGCCACCATGCTGGGCTGACAATGTATTTTAATCCAAAGGTTGCATTGTGGTGGCCATGGATCTGCATCCAGCCTGCATATCACGTTGACCCACACAGAAGATTTTTAAGTGTGAAATAATTGCCAGTATTTAAAAGATACGAGATTTCCCAATCTGGACTTCTAACTTTTCTTGAGAAGTCATAATATCTGGCACTAGGAGGTCTGCACTCCCATGTGTTGACAAGCGGCTGGAGCTGAAGAGCACCACTCCCTATAGATGGGTCCTTCACTGTCTCTTGCCATCATCTCCACCTCTTCCTAACTCAGCGGACCTACTTCAGTTTTTTACTTTACTTGCGTGGTCTTTGAAGGCATTAAAGTTTGCTGCTTCTGCTTTAATCTCATCCTGACAGAAGGGGTTCTATTTCAGCTGGATTGAGAGCTTGTGAAGGAGCTCAGTTGCAACTTTCTAACAAATGACTGGAAAAGCCACACAACTCTTACATACTCATGTTTAGAAAGGCGCATTTGTGTTCCATATGCCAGTGATTCTGCACTGAGTATTATGGAAGATTTGTGATAGATCAGAGAAGAGTCATGCTGAAAACAAAAGTCAGGGAAACCAAGCAAGAGAGAACAGTGGAAAAGATTCAGTGCATAGCTTCCAAGAGAGGATGAATAAGAAATGTGTTTGTGAATGTCTCATGACATAAGCATCTGAAGTAGAGGGTCGTGGGCAGGGCACAGTGGCTCACACCTGTAATCTCAGCACTTTGGGAGGCTGAGGTGGCAGATCACTTGAGGTCAGGTGTTCGAGACCAGCCTGGCCAACACGGTGAAACCCTGTCTCCACTAAAAATAAAAATTAGCCAGGCATGGTGGTATGCACCTGTAGTCCCAGCTACCCAGGAGGCTGAGGCAAGAGAATCACTTAAATCTGGGAGGCAGAGGTTGCAGTGAGCCAAGATTGCACCTCTGCACTGCAGTCTGGGCCATAGTGCAAGACTCTGTCTCAAAAGAAAAAAAAAAAAAAAAAAAAGGGTTGTGCTAACAAGGAAGAGCCTTCGCTTGAACTGAGGTGAGTAGCCAGAACCTTTGACTGTATTATTCCTTTTTCCCAGGATCCCACAAGAGGAGTTTGAGCCTTGGTGATAAAGAAATAAGCCGTTCTTCTCCTTCTCCGGCTGAGCAGCCTTTCAGAGACCGTTCCAATACTCTCAATGAGAAGCCCGCGCTGCCTGTCATCCGAGACAAGTACAAAGACTTGACAGGAGAGGTGGAGGTGAGAGAGAGCTTTCTGCAGGGGGTGGGCACAGACCAGCAAGCACACAGGGCCCTAAGAAAGAATGCTCTCAGCTTTCACATGGGGAAAATGAGGGGCAAAAAGACACAACGCACCCGACATGAACTACGTAATTAAAGTGAGAGAAGGGTAAGGTGTGGCATCGGCTGAAAGTAGTCGGTGACCCTAAAACCAAAATTATTCATAGGACTTCACAAGGGTGGCAGTGTTTGCAGGATTCTTCTTGAGCACTTAGACTTACCATCTTCACGAGACCTCAAAATAGAGGAGACAGGGAAAATACTCTGAATTTTTTATTTCTGTCTGCTGCATCTTAGTGCCACACTGTGCTCCTCCTGTGGCCAACACACTTCACTTCTCGCCTTTCCCTACCCCTTGTTACACGTGCATGTGTACCATGTCTTCACACACAGCATTATAACTGGGGAGTGGAAAGCCAGTGGCTTGATGGTGGTTTCTGTACCAGATAGCTACATGCTGAGTGCCTTCGAAGACAGGCTTACACTGTTACTGATGAAACAGATGAGGCAACACTCACAGAGAGAAGCTGCTGGAAAGCGTGTCCTTCAGACTTGCAGGTCCTGTGTTCAGAAGTTACATTTACTGGTAATGTAACATAGTGAGTTCAAAAAGAAACTGTGGCCGGGCACTGTGGCTCATGCTTGTAATCCCAGCACTTCAGAAGGCCAAGTGGGGCATATCACTTGAGCTCAGGAGTTTGAGACGAGCCTAAGCAACATGGCAAAACCCTATCTCTACCAAAAATACAAAAAGTAGTAGCTGCATATGGTAGTGCCTGCCTGTAGTCTCAGCTACTCTGGAGACTGAGGTGGGAGGATTGCCTGCATCCAGGAGTTGAGGCTGCAGTGAGCAGAAATCACACCACTGCACTTCAGCCTGGGCAACAGAGCAAGACCCTGTCTCAAAAAAAAAAAAAAAAAAAAAAAAAAAAGATAAACTGCTTGAACTAGAGTGATTGAAAGTCTTCCAAGCTCTTTGAATGGACAGAGTCATCAATAGAAGATTCTAGTTTTGTGTGTTTAACTCGGTTCTTTTTTATAAAATTCACAGGAAAATGAGAGATACGCATATGAATGGCAGAGATGCCTGGGGAGTGCCCTGGATGTGAGTATGTCACTTTTGCGTTCGCACATATGTAAGTGCTCTCCTGTGCAATTTCGCCTTCTTGGTTCATTTGAATGGACAGAAGCAAACTTCAGGAGAGCCTTTCTTGGGTGTTCTTGGGCAAAGTGAGACTGTGGAAGTCATACATCTTCGTTGAGGCTTCCTTCACACTTTACAGTAGCAGACTGGCTCATTTGTCAGTTGTCCCCTTATCTGTCATCATGTTTAAGAAATAACAAAGTGATATCATTAACTCTGTCTAAATCAAAATAATATTTAAAGAACCTGTCTTTTCTCTTCCAAAGAAATGGAGGATTGTTTCTCCAAGGATAAAATTTAATTCTCAGGTTTGTTTTAGCATAGTCCTGTACACACATCAGTCGGTCATGCTTTTTCACACCTCCTGGCTTTTCGGTTGGGTTTTCTACTAATAGTCAGTTGATTTGTGATGACTTTTCTCAGTTGTGTAAGGTGATGTGATTTCATTTCTTGTAGGTCATTAAGAAGGCAAATGATACCTTAAATGGAATCAGTAGTAGTTCTGTTTGCACGGAAGTAATTCAGTCAGCACAAGGCATGGAATATTTATTAGGTATGTTCTTTTATATTTTACTATTAAAAATCATGGCACGTTGCATTATTTTCAGTTTTCCTTTAATTATTTTAAGCTGGATCTCTCAAGTGACATATGACTTCAGTAAGAAACATCTGCATTTGTGGGTAAGATACTTAAGTCACAGGCAGTAAACTATTTAACCTAAACAGTCTTTATGGCTAAGTTTCCTAGTCCTTGTTATATACATAATAGCAAAAATGTAAAATTGTATCTGTATTAACTGGTTTATCTAAGAATCTGAACTACTGATGCACTAAAATTGAATCATTTCGTCTCCCATCAGTACCTTACCGTACTCTGTATTCTTCCTCTCTACTGCTTCATGACATCACGGATTGCTGAACTTCCTGGCCATCTGCAGCAGTTAGATGTGTCAGTCCAACTTGAAATGTAGCTTCTGCCCACTTCGATGTGCCTCCCGTCCCCGAGCTCAGGCTTGGCCCGTGGCCAGGGCTACACGCACTGTACCCTAATCTTTTTCAAGTCTTTACTCAAATGTCAGCTTCTGCGTGAAATCTTCCCTAGCCTCCGTTTCTCCAAAGAATATCCTCTCTCCCCACCCCAGCACTTCCAGTCCCATTCTCTGCTGGATTTTCTCCTTAGCCCTGTTACCTTTAATTTCTGACATATGTTACTTATTATTCTTTTCTTCCCCACCTCCTTTTTTTTTTTTTTTTTTGAGGCAAAGTCTCGCTCTGTTGGCCAGGTTGGAGTGCAGTGGTGCAATCTCGGCTCACTGCAACCTCCACCTCCTGCATTCAGGCAATTCTCGTGCCTCAGCCTCCCAAGTAGCTAGGATTCTAGATGCCCGCCACCACACCCAGCTAATTTTTATATTTTTGTTTGTTTGTTTTTTTTTTTTTTTTTTTTTTTTGAGACGGAGTTTCGCTCTTGTTACCCAGGCTGGAGTGCAATGGCGCGATCTCGGCTCACCGCAACCTCCGCCTCCTGGGCTCAGGCAATTCTCCTGCCTCAGCCTCCTAAGTAGCTGGGATTACAGGCACGCGCCACCATGCCCAGCTAATTTTTTGCACCTTTAGTAGAGACGGGGTTTCACCATGTTGACCAGGATGGTCTCGATCTCTCGACCTCGTGATCCACCCGCCTCGGCCTCCCAAAGTGCTGGGATTACAGGCTTGAGCCACCGCGCCCAGCTGTTTGTTTGTTTTGAGACGGAGTTTCGCTCTTGTTACCCAGGCTGGAGTGCAATGGCGCGATCTCGGCTCACCGCAACCTCCGCCTCCTGGGTTCAGGCAATTCTCCTGCCTCAGCCTCCTGAGTAGCTGGGATTACAGGCACGTGCCACCACGCCCAGCTAGTTTTTTGTATTTTTAGTAGAGTCGGGGTTTCACCATGTCGACCAGGATGGTCTCGATCTCTCGACCTCGTGATCCACCCGCCTTGGCCTCCCAAAGTGCTGGGATTACAGACTTGAGCCACCGCCCCCGGCCTAATTTTTGTATTTTTAATAGAGACTGGATTTTACCATGTTGGCCAAACTAGTCTCAAACTCCTGACCTCAGGTGATCCACCCATCTCAGCCTCCCAAAGTGCTGGGATTATAGGCGTGAGCCATTGTGCCCAGCATTTTTTTGTTTTGTTTTGTTTTGTTTTTAATACAGGGTCACAGTCTGTCACTGAGGTTGGAGTGCTGTGTTGTGATCACAACTCACTGCAGTGTCTGCCTCCCAGGGTCAAGCAGTCCTCGCACCTCAGCCTCCCAAGTAGCGGGGACTGTAGGTGCACACCACCACACACCTGACTAATTTTTGTGTTTTTTTGTAGAGACGGGTTTTTGCCATGTTGCCCAGGCTGGTCTCGAACTCCTGAGTTCAAGTGACCCACCCACCTCGGCCTCCCAAAGTGCCGGGATCACAGGCTTGAGCCACCGTGCCTAGCTACTTGTTTTTACTCTCTGTCTCCCTTCATTAGAATGAACCTCCAGGAAGCCAAGGATTTTGGTCTGTTTTGTTTACTGGTGTGTCCCCAACACCTAACCTAGTGTCTGGCACACAGCTGGCACTCAAAACTGTTTGCTGGATGAGTGGAGCGTGAAGGGTGTTGCCTCTGCCTTACTCCTGCCACGTCACTCGGGGTCATCTTTTCCTGTTCAGACAGGCACACTTATGCATAAGCAGATGCCCACCAGGAAATGTGGCACCTGTCTTTTCCCCTAGTATCCTTGTATCTGTGGAAGATTCTCTTAGAAGCCCCCTCACTTGGCTTAGGGTGGGCAGTGATTTCTGCCTCTCCCTTGGGGAAGGAAGAAGAAAAGCAGTAGTGCTGTACACAGCGGCTGCTGATGGGCCACTCTGAGGACCCCCTGCAATTCTTTGAGTGTTCACCTAGAGAGACCAGGGTCATGTGTTTGGTGACTGTCACATTGCAGGTTAGTGGCTGTCCTTAGCACCTCTCATCCTTGCTTAAAGAGTTCAACCAGACCACAGGAGAAGAACTGTTCTGTGTCCTGTTACATGTATAAAAGATAAGTGAAGTCAAAGTGTTTGTAAGACGTTGGGATTCAGAGGGTGATTTTTTGTGATGCTGTTAACATTTAGATTCTTTTACATTTTTACTATCCCCATTTTCAGCCAGTTTATTGGGATTTCCCAGATTCAAACAGATGGACTCATAAATAAACCTCCCAAAAAACAAAAGCTTATAACTTGCATATTGCCTGTCATTCTTCAAGCACTGTTCTAAGCCTTTTACCATATTAACCTGTTTAATCCTCTCAACCATCCTTTGAGGAGGTACTGTTACCATCCCAACTTCACAGATGAGGAAACTGAATTACAGAGAGGTTACGTGATTTGCCTAAGGTTTTGTAGCCAGTAAGAGACATAGCTGGGGTTTGAACCCAGGCAGTGCAGTTTTAGAGTCTCTGCTCTTACCGGTGAGCTATATAGCGGCATTGAGAGATGGATTGGTCCCAAAGAATAGTAAGTACACCTCTGTCCATATGCACCCCTTGTTTCTAACAAATACCAGCAAGCAGTAGTGCCGCCCTGTCTGGTTCCTCTCCGTCTCCACTGCCAACACTCGCTCTGCTCTCTCATCCCCCCAGGTGTTGTTGAAGTGTACCGGGTAACCAAGCGTGTGGAGCTGGGGATAAAGGCCACTGCAGTATGCAGTGAGAAACTCCAGCAGTTGCTGAAGGACATCGATAAAGTGTGGAACAACCTAATTGGCTTCATGTCACTCGCCACACTCACAGTAAGCCTATGAGACAGCTCAGCAGTTGCTTGCTTCTCCAGAAAGCTGAGTTGTAAAGCGCGGTGTATATTCATATGATGGTGCCGACTGGAGCACATTATATTTAAGGAGGAGGGAGATCACAGGTGTTTGGGCAATTGAACAGGACCGGGTGGGCTTCTGATCTCTCCAAGGCCTTGTGTACCTCAGGAAAAAAAGGATAGGAAAACATTCACTCTATACCTTTCTTAATTCACATAATACATGCAAAATTTGCAAAGCATTGGTTTGAGATAACTCCCTTTGCCCTTCTAGTTACTTATGTCCCCATACGTGACCTTTCAGAAAGCTATGTGCTACGTCATGTTGCCATTCTGTAGTTTGTTTAGCCCTTCTTACTTTTTTAAGATGATTTGATTGTCTTCATTTTTCCCTCTTATGAGTAGTTCTACTCTAAATAGACAGATAACTTTGTGGGGATGTAGTTCCTCCAAGTGGATTAGGAGGTCAGCGTGTGTGTGTCTGCCCAGGTGTGTGCATGCATATGTAGCTGTTGTTACATTTATTAGAAGGCTTTCCAGATAGCTTGCACTGGTCACAGTGCTACCAGAAATACATAAGTACATGGATACATTTCTCTACGTTGTGTCCTATCAGTTTCTTAATTTAACAAGCATGCAGTTACTCTGTAAGGTATTTTTTTTACTTTTTTTTTTTTTTTTTGAGACAGAGTTTCGCTCTTGTTACCCAGGCTGGAGTGCAATGGCGCGATCTCGGCTCACCGCAACCTCCGCCTCCTGGGTTCAGGCAATTCTCCTGCCTCAGCCTCCTGAGTAGCTGGGATTACAGGCACGCGCCACCATGCCCAGCTGATTTTTTGTATGTTTAGTAGAGACAGGGTTTCACCATGTTGACCAGGATGGTCTCGATCTCTTGACCTTGTGATCCACCAGCCTCAGCCTCCCAAAGTGCTGGGATTACAGGTATGAGCCACCGCGCCCGGCCTTTTTTTTTTTTTTTTTTTTTTTTTTTTTGAGACGGAGTTTCGTTCTTGTTACCCAGGCTGGAGTGCAATGGCACCATCTCAGCTCACCGCAACCTCCGCCTCCTGGGTTCAGGCAATTCTCCTGCCTCAGCCTCCTGAGCAGCTGGGATTACAGGCACGCGCCACCATGCCCAGCTAATTTTTTGTATTTTTAGTAGAGACGGGGTTTCACCATGTCGACCAGGATGGTCTCGAACTCTCGACCTCGTGATCCACCCGCCTCGGCCTCCCAAAGTGCTGGGATTACAGGCTTGAGCCACCGTGCCCGGCCCGCCCGGCCATTTTTTACATTAAAAAAAAAAAATCTCGAAGAGGCTTGGCAGTGTTCCAAATGACAATTTACTATTTCTGTTTCCTTTGTGTGTAAACGGATTGGACTCTTTTGACCATTTGAGCATTTATTCCTTGGAATATGATTATTGACCTTATATATTTCATATTTGTAATAGACTTATATGCATATATATAAGCTTGTAAACTTTTATCAGCTTTTTTCCTCCTCTGTTACTGTACCTTTGTTACATTTCATCGGGCAAAACTATTTTATTTTTATATATTCATACCTATTCAATTTGTCGCTGCTGATACCCTTTATTTCACAATCGTAAAAAGTTTATCTTCCTTCCACAGCTGGAATAAATATGCTATTCCATTTTTTTTTTTTTAACATGGAACTCTGTGACCCATCTGAATGGGATTGCAGCTGTGTGGGAGGAAGCAGTTCTAGTTTTCTGAACTGATAGCCAGGTGGATACCAGCTACCCCAGCAACGTGTCTTCCGCAGCACATCCTCACCATTGTCTTGTTGCTTCTGCTTTGTAATATGCCTTTCTTGTTCCCTTGAATCATTTCTCGTTTTCTAACCTAAAATCATATGTAGATAATTATTTTTTTTAAAAAATACCATTCTGGCAAATGAACTAAGAAATAGGGTATTAATATTTGAAGAAAGAGATAAAATTATGTTTTCTTGGTGATAATGAAATTCTTTTAAAAATTTAAATTCAACCAGCCGGGTGTGGTGGCTCACACCTGTTGTCCCAGCACTCTGGGGAGGCTGAGGCGGGCGGATCACTTGAGCCCGGGAGTTTGAGACCAGCCTGGGCAACATGGTGAAACCCCATCTCTACCAAAATTACAAAAATTAACCAGTCCCAGAACCTGGACTCTAAATAAATAGATAGATTTTAACAATTTTTTTAATCTAAATTCAATCTAAATTTAAATGTATCGCATTTGGCATAAATTCATAGCAATCCTACATATTAACAGTAGTTAGAAAATATGATGAAATTAGGCTGGGCATGGTGGCTCATGCCTGTATTTTAGCACTTTGGGAGGCCAAAGAGGGCAGATCAATTAAGGACAGGCGTTTGAGACCAGCCTGGCCAAAGTGGTAAAACCCCATCTCTACTACAATTACAACAACAACGAAGTTAGCCGGGCATGGTAGCAGGTGCCTGTAATCCAGCTACTCAGGAGGCTGAGGCAGGAGAATTGCCTGAACCTGGGACCCAGGAAACAGAGGTTGCAGTGAGCCAAGGTCGTGCCACTGCACTCCAATCTCAGGTGACAAGACTGGAGCGTGGCAAGACTCTGTCTCAAAAAAAAAAAAAGAAAGAGAAGAAAACATAATGAAATTGGAAACCGTATGTTTTTTGTTTTTTGTTATAAAATATAATTACGTTAGAAATTTTTTAAAAAAATTATTAACTAATTCAAGCCCTCATCACTTTTGAACTTCTGACCTCGTAGGTAGGGTGACTGGATCCGTTTTTGTTTTTAATCCTTTACAAATCTATTCTGCACACCTCTACCAAACTGTTCTTCTACAACACAAATTTGATCATGTCATTTAAATCCCATTTAAAATCCTACAGTGGACTCTCCGTGGTCTTTAGGATCAAGTTCAAACTTCTAAGCTCAGTATAGATCTTTTGTATCCCTCGGATCACCATTGCCTCCTTCTGAGAAACTGCTTTTCCCTCTGCAATCTGCATCCTTTTCCCCAGAAGTCATTCCAAGAGTCCTTTGGTCCAAATCGGCTGCCTCGTCTGGCTGTGTCCGTAGCGCATTTCTCTCTCATTTCTCATAGCACTTCCCATGCTTGTTGATAATTGTGTTTTTACTTGTCGCTTGCCCACTAGCTTGGCAGCTCCTTAAAAGTAGGACTGTGTCCTTTAGTTTTTCATTAGTACTCTAATGCAGTGTTTGGTGAGACTTTCTACTTCTTGTTTTATAGGTTTTTTTTAACCTTCCGATTTCTTAAAAAACCAGACACCATACATTTTTGTACTTCATCATTTTAATAACTGGTTTAAATTTTTTAAATAAATGGATAAAGGAAATGAAAGGGAAGCTATAATAAGCCAGGAATGGGCCGGGCGCGGTGGCGCAAGCCTGTAATCCACTTTGGGAGGCCGAGGCGGGTGGATCACGAGGTCAACAGATCGAGACCATCCCGGTCAACATGGTGAAACCCCGTCTCTATTAAAAATACAAAAAATTGGCTGGGCATGGTGGCATGTGCCTGTAATCCCAGCTACTCAGGAGGCTGAGGCAGGAGAATTGTCTGAATCCAGGAGGCGGAGGTTGCGGTGAGCCGAGATCGCGCCATTGCACTCCAGCCTGGGTAACAAGAGTGAAACTCCGTCTCAAAAAAAAAAAAAAAAAAAGCCAGGAATGAAATTTAGTGCATTAAAATGTGTGCTTTTAAAATGCTCGCATTTGTTAATGGCAGGCTGTTTCGCTTTCTAGGAATTGAGGTAAAGACAATATAATCAGTTCCATGACTCACTGTGTTTATAGCGTAAAACAAAGTCATCACTCAGGAGAAGCATATTTATTCTTGCTACTAATATCATTTATTTATTTTTTTGAAACAGAGTCTCATTCTGTTTCCCAGGCTGGAGTGCAGTGGTGCAATCTCAGCTCACCGCAACCTCTACCTCCTGAGTTCAAGTGATTCTCATGCTTCAGCCTACTGAGTTGCTGGGATTGCAGGCATGTGCCACCACATCCAGCTAAATTTTGTATTTTTAGTAGAGAAAGAGTCTTGCCATGTTGACCAGGCTGGTGTCGAACTCCTGGGCTCAAGTGATCCACCCCCCTTGGCCTACCAAAATGTTGGGATTACAGGCATGAGCCACTGAGCCTGGCCTTGATACTAAGATCAGAAAGAAATTTCTTCTGTGGGTTCTCATAAGAGGAAACTAATATAATCAACACTGTCTTCAGAAAGAAAAAAATCCTTTCAGTAAATAAAGCAACAGGTTTCACTGAGTAGTTTCTTATTACATCTCTCAATATAGGCCAAATGGCATAACTCCAGAGTATGAGTGGAAGTCATTTTAAGTGTGGAAAAGATAGATTAAATTGTAAACTAGGAGGTGTAGTAGTGCATCCTGATGGCAGGCTTGTGTCTTTGCTCTGTAAAGGAAGCATACAAATCAATGAGAAATAGACCAATATTCAGTAACGTATGAGCAAAAACGTGAAGTGATTTATAAAAGGGGAGGTACAATTAGTAAATATAAGCTCAAATCAAAACAAGGTTTCATTTTTTGCCTACTGATTTTTTTTTTTTTTTTTTTTTTTTTGAGACGGAGTTTCGCTCTTGTTACCCGGGCTGGAGTGCAATGGCGCGATCTCGGCTCACCACAACCTCCGCCTCCTGGGTTCAGGCAATTCTCCTGCCTCAGCCTCCTGAGTAGCTGGGATTACAGGCATGCGCCACCATGCCCAGCTAATTTTTTGTATTTTTAGTAGAGACGGGGTTTCACCACGGTGATCAGGATGGTCTCGATCTTTTGACCTCGTGATCCACCCGCCTCGGCCTCCCAAAGTGCTGGGATTACAGGCTTGAGCCACCGCGCCCGGCATACCTACTAATATTTTTTAATATATCTCACTCTACTGCCCAGCCTGGAGTGCAATAGCGTGATCTTGGCTCACTGCAACCTCGCCTCCCAGGTTC